CACAGCTCATTCTGAAAACTAACCTCTCAGTGTTCATGTCGATCTTTATCCCTATACTTATTTATGGTTATGAATCGTGGACCATCACTGAAAAGCTTCGAACCCGGAAACAAGCTGCTGAAACGGCCTTTCTTAGAATAGTCGCTGGCCTTACGCATCTCGACATGGTCCGGAATACTGACATCCTAAAGAGCGTTGGCGTACAGCCTTTGCTTCTCCAGACTGAAAAGTCACAGTTGCAATGGGTTGGACCTTGAGACCGGAAGGTGAAGCCTTAAGCTCAGACTCTGGCATAAGATCGGGAACGCTGAAACTACTGCTGGACCTGTGTACCTCCGCGATTCGAAAGGAGAAGCGGTCTTCGCAACTGACTGACTGCATTTGAGATCACCATGTCTTCAGATCCGAATGGACCTTCCACACATTTCGCTCCTCAAGAAAATTTGCAGAACGATCTGTTGCTTCAAACTTGTAATTCATGCCATGCTACAATGAGACATCGCGCAAAAGCGTTATGTTAATCTGTTTCTGCAGTACTTTTGTAATTTAACTTACCGTGAACTTGGATTGCTTTATCCCCCATATTATGTGAAGCCGGTCAGTGATGTAAAGGCAAAGCTAAGCATCAGATCCGACCAGCAGTCATCTCAGGCACGCCAATTGGGTCCCTCTTTCAGAAGGTGTTCACGGGAAGAATGACAGAACCTGTGCATGGCAACAAAATCTTGAAATCTTTTAATTCGCGATAGTAGTTCAATGGGTTATTGACTTCGTCAAGCTCAAGATAGTATAAAAGGGCTCAAACAAAAAGTCTCTTGAAAAGTGCTTTCACAGCATTTACTTTATGAGGGAATAGGCGATTGCCGTTATATTGTAGCCTGATGTCATTTTCTCACGGGTGTAGTGTTTGATCTGTCAGCGGATTCTTAATACTTAAGTTACTTGCGACGTACATTAGACATTATTAGAGGACATTCTATTCCTTTAAAATTCACCAGAAGAACTCCAAGGAAAATTTCAAGAGTTGAAAGACGAGTGTCAAAGTAGGAGAGAAGACAATCCTGAAAAGACTGGTCATATTTAAGAAAAGCGCGACTTCACTACCTGTTAAAGTCAGTGGACACATGATTGAAGAGGTACAAAACTACGTCTGTCTGAAACAGCTCGTGTCTGTCACGGGTCAACGACTTTGCGAAATCAACAGAGGAGTAAATCGGCATGAAGCACTTTTTATGCTTGAAAGGGAAGGCTTTTAACTGTGTATCCACCAAATGCTAGCCTGTAGATGCGAAACCTTAAGTCTGAAAGCTGTTCATAAACTGTACATGACGCATTACAGGAAGACAAGGTGCACGATGAGAAAATAAGTTGAAAAAATTTGACAGAAAACGAATGAGTAACAGCACAAACAAGAGTCTGCGATGTCCGAATGAAGAAGTTTGAATGGCAAAGGACAGGACAGGATGCATTGCAAGTAGAATGGACCGTCCTTGTACTACTGAAACAAAGAGGTTCGAAGAGCATGTAAATTCGCTGTAGAAGGATTTCTTGATCGGTGAGAATGAACTAAAGAAGTTCGTTGCATTAATATGAATGAGAATCTTAAACAAACTTCTATGGCGAAATCTTAGAGAGTTCTTAAAATGATTGAATCGATATAGGCTGATGATGATTGTGAAGTAGCTGATACTCGATCTAACAGGCATCTCCAAATTGTTACACTACAACATACGTAGATCATTTAAGAATATTGTTCGATGGAAAATAGTGACAGTGATCAATGTCGACTATAAATGAATGCCTTATTGCTAGTTTTTGAAACATTATCTAGTAATCTAACTAACGTATGCAGTCAATAAGATACTATTTATTACAGCTGTTCACTAAAAAATGTGGTCATCATTGATATAATAATTTAACTCATGTGGAAAATTATAAACTGAGAAAGTAAACATATACTCTACGGACAATTTCTATTACCAGTTCATTTTCTTGGTCGTATTTTGCCCCAAGGCTATAAGCTAACCGTTTCACTTCGTCCTGCGGTCCAAAAATGAGGTACGTCCCGGTATCGCTTATCGCTTTGATCTTGTTATTCGACATACTGGTGCTGATAACTATTTGCGGAGACGTCATTGTTGGTGCTATCGACACGCTAAAATGGGCCGTTATGAAAATGTATTCAATTAATGAATTTTACTTTATTTAGATTTTTCGATATTGAAATGAATGAGAGAGTTAGTAGTACTTTTTCACAATTTTCCACCACATGTAAAGAACTATTTATTATCATAAACCACTGAGCGGGTACAAGCACCATGTAATTCAGCATATGCTACTGTGAGTGCGGCATTCTTGAAAAAGCATCTTGCATTCTAAATTGAAACAAGATATAACCCCGATATTTAGAGGGTAAATTCTTCGAGTGGGCGCTTTCAACAGCGCTGGTGAATGTGACATTTCAAATACTGACACTGGATTTACGCGGGAAAATCCCACGGAGTAAGGAAAGAAAACATTTATTTCACTTATACTTATACTGAGGTAATGACATATCGATAAAAGCCTGTACACCGGTTGATCCTCAACTTTGCGCCGCCCGTTGCTTTTAGTTCTGTAGAGGGACCACTTAAGCAGGCCACGGCTCAATGGTATGTAAGCACCTGCAGTGCATAGGACTGCTTTCTACGTATCTTCCACAGTGTTGGTGCAAAGTAAAGAAAAAATTTTCCTTTCCCTGCATAGTACGTTTTCGCCAAGTATATTTGATCTCAGTATTTGAAACGTTTATTTTGCTTTGCGATTAACACGATTGTGTCGATTTTAATGTTTACCGTAGTACTGCGCTCTGATTTCATGGTTTTACATGAATTGTGATAGCGACACCATTTTTAATAATGGATGAAAATTATTTAGATCACAACCAACTATAATTAGTGTCAGCCACAATTTCACTCTGTTGTGCATGCATAATCAACTATTTCAGGAGTGCTTCATATAATTACTGATAAAAAATATAGAGTTTTTCCAGTCTTATTTAACCTCTACTGCTAAGCTTGTAGCTTATATTTTTAGATTATCGCATTATGAAAGACAGCTTTTTCTTATCATCAAAAACGGCACTGATTATTACAAATTTATAGTCAACTTCTTGCTGTCTGATTTCTAATCACATTCAGAAACGTTGGTTTCACACATGGCAGACAAATATTTAATCTCAATCTTACTTAGTAAAATATCTGATTTAAGCACTATGCAAATATACCTGTCGATATAAAATTCCCAATATGACGCTTTAGTCAGAGGTACCCATCTGCATGTTGAGGAACAGTGGTCAGAGTCGAAACCTCCTAGTGTCAATTGGCCACCAACCGTTTGATAGTAGTCGGTTCTAAAATAATGTCAGTATAGAACATTATTCATTTGAAGAGACCACAACTGATTAAAGCAGCAAATGGTACATTGGTTAAACTGAAATGGGTATAAAACTTTAATCAACTTTAGTAATCGACGATGGTTAGCAATTAACCTCAATGAATGCGCTAATGAGACAGTAGCAACCAGGAATGACAAATGTTCTCATAGTTTAATGACAACATATTGAAGATAAGAATAGCATTAGGGAAACTTGAAAGGACCAGAGTAAAATTTTCTAAAACTTGCAGGAGTTAAAAAACTTATTTAGCCAGACTGGGAGAAAACTATGGTTAATTTTGGAAATTGCTTAACAGATTAGCCTATCTCAGATTACCGATGTCAAACATTTAGACAGGAAATCTAAAGACTAGTGTAAACCTTAAATACTTCACAAAAAGTTTTGTTGTTGCAAAACAGCTCATCTTTTAATAGCTATGATAGGCCCGCTGGTCCGCTTTCATTCTATACCCTTAGAACGGGCTCCCAAGAGAGGAACGTTTTTCTGACAGCTTTTGACATCTGCACTGCTTTAGGAGAAGGCCGATCTCTTAGTTCTCCAGAACAGCTTCTTCAACTTAGTGGTTCTGAGTATGTGATCATTCACTACTCGATGATACCACTGAAAATCGAGTACGTTGAGCAAACAGCGTCCCTGGAAGCAGTTCAAATAAATACGTTTTCAGGTTTCTGATTCTGGGTACAGAGTTATGTAGACAGTTATTTGAATGATTCATGGTTCGGGGCACCAGATACAGATGGCAAAGTTTTAATGCCAACGAGTTTCACTGCACAAACCGCAACATCATCAGGTTGGACTGAGTACAATTGTTTGCTTGGAGGAATTTATGTCCAATAAATGAACAATGCTAATTTTTCAATTGGCTTATCACACAGTCATATCATTGTTACATTTTCGGAACAAAAGCCGGATATGCAAAAATACATATCTTCTAGTCATCAGTGAAAGCTGGGGCATAATCTCAAAATTGATGGGTCAAAACGACAAAGATCTGATTTACTTTGATGTGGACATTACACTTTGTTCTGACAGTGTAGCAATGATTTGACTTTGTGATAAACTACTTTAGAAATTGACATTGTTATTTTGTTAGACATAAATTCCTTCAAGCAGACAACTGTACTCAGTCCAGTCCCGATGATGCTGCGGTCCGTGCAATGAAACTCGTTGGCGGTAAATTGTTTACCATCTGCTGTCTTTGGTGCCCAGAACCATGAGTCATTCAAACAATCATGTGTGTGGAAGAAGTTCAGTCGAATTTTTGCTGTTTCAATACTGTAACTATGGTTCGGTAACTGAATCCATGGATTTCGAGGTCATACAAGTGAACGGACAAGACTGCAGCTTTCAAAATGCGCTAGGAAACTTTCGTATTTTTGATATTGAGATATATTTTAGGTTAATATTGAGATATGTCACAAAGTTTACTGTTTTATGTCTTAGTCACATCTTCCATCGTTCGCAGTAATAATTAAACCTAATTAATTGAACCGATCAACTTCTTCTACCGGTGTCCTGTTATATTTGATTTCCTGGGCGTAGGTCACGACTGATGCCTTCATAGCCTTTATCTTCGTAGGGTTGACTTACAGTCAAACATCATCGGCACACACTAACAGTAAGGGTTTCACGACACTGCCGATGTTCACTCGCTAGAACAAAGTCATCCTCCATTTAGGTCAGGCGAACCGCTAGGTACCTGAAACTTATTCTTGACCAATTGGTAGAGATTTCTGTCTCGTTTCGAACGATGCTCTTCTATACAACTTGATCAATCAGGATGTTGAACTGTACCAGCGAAAGGAATTCACCCCGACGAACGCCAAATGCGATATTGAACTCCTGATGAAATGTTTTCATTCTGTACAACGCATGTTGGTTTCTTCTAAAGTCTTTCCATCGGTCCGACTATATTCCAAGTATTTTATAATGACGGCAATGGCAACACTCTACTGACGTACTGGAGTGTCAAGTGCCAAAGATGCCGGAACTCCTGGCGATACCCGACCGTTCATCAGAGCACGAAGATGCTATATGCTCATGAATCAACACTTCGGAGTTCCGTCTGTTTCATTCGCAGAGACTGTTCTACCTTCTGCTCAAGTCTGTTTACGACTATCCTTGCGAAACCTTCTCGAGCGCGGGTAGCACACGCGAGATCCCTCAGTCTTCAATGCAATCAGTTCATTGGATGGTTGACATGACCACTCCATTCTTTGAGTTTTAATGTATCACTCCTGATTTTCATATGCTTTCAAAGGCCTGAAGAATCCAGGTGACAAAGCTCTCACCTCTGCAGTGCAGTAGTTCTGTACATAATCCATGGTGACCAGCCTTTGATCCACTGCACCGATGAGGAGCCATTCAGATTTCTTCAGGCTTAATGAATGTGCAAAGTGCGTTAATTTATATCCGAGGGTTTGATGTGTCTTCTCGTCGAGTTGAGATTCTTTGTTGGATGGCCATGTATCGTTCAGTAGCTGCGTGAAATGTTCATCTCCCTGCGTTGCCTGTGGGTGACGGCATTATACAGGGTTTCGTTCTTCTTGTCCCGTAACGTGGGTGAAGACCCCTTCTGCATGTCGGCCTTACCATTGACAGTAGCCATTTGTTTGAACACAAACTCCAGTCTCCCGCAGCTGCCGCTTTCTCTAATTTTTCCCAACCCCGCTGCCGTTCACTGCAGTAAATCTTGTCCATCACTTTGACGAACAGTTAACGTAGTCGTCGTTAGTTAATGTCTCTTTTTTTGCAATATATCCTACTTAGCAGTATTCCACTTTTTACGAAGCTTCAGGGTTTCTACGGATATCCATGGTTTTCTTTATTTTTTTTCGCAAAACTGATGGTCTTGGCAACTCTCTCGAAGATGTTCATCGTCTTAGAGTAGCTCAAGCAATTCTTATCATTTGCAGCAGCGAATATGCTGTCACTTTCTGCCTGGAACGTTTCGTACCAGAGAATCTTTCAGCTTTCACATAATTGGATCGTTGCATTGAAGAATATTCCCAATTGAGGACGGAGCTTCGCAACCACTCAGAAGTGATCGAACTCGATGTCAGATGCCCACATGGATAGCGTGCAATATGGGAGGGAAATTTGTCATTTATTGCTCACGACAATGTGATCGATTTGGTTTTTGAAGTTCCCGCCGGGTACCACCCACGTTTGTCGTCGATGGATTGATTTGTTGAAAGATTGCGATCTACCGAAGAACATTTCGCGTCATACACAAAGGTCTAATAGGCGGAGGTTACTGTTATCAGCTTCTTCTCTGCCATGTCCACTGAATATCTGCAACCAGTTTGTATGACCGGCTCTGATCCGGGTCTTAAGGCCACTAACGACAAGCAATTGTTGATTTGCATCACATTTTTGGTAACGGGAATACATTGCTGGTTAAAAACGGTTTAAGCATCCACTGCCCCAGAAAGTCTCTTTCGGGATTCGATACAATTTAGCGATTCTCTCAGCATATACAAGTATATAGAGATAGCATAATGGCGCTAAATTCCGCTGTTGGAGCGGTGCACGTTACATGACATTCTTTAGTTAATTTTTTTTGTTTTAAACTCTGAAAGCCGCGAAGAAGCTATGAAAAAAAATATCGATTACTGTTTCATCCATATCGTAAATATTGGCTGTTCCAAAAGCTTTTGGTTGATCATCCTTTGCACCGGAGGGATGGCGTCCATAGCCGAGAGAGGAGCGAAGCCGAGGCCGCATATGCCATCTGCTGGAAGCTCGGTAAAGAAGCTGGCTAGTTTGTCGGCCACGCCGAGAACTTGATTCTGAACGCAGATCCCTCCAATCTAAAAACAATGACTTCAAACAATACGAATAAAAGACATCTGAAAATTACGCACAGATGTCTGCTCCGACTATTACAACGATGTTTTACAGTTGACGATGTTTTGAACTTTTTAAAGTGAATTATTTATAGAACTACCCATTGGACTTAAATTAAACTTGATTAGTTGGTTAGTTAAGTTATTCAACTGGTACTCTTTCTTCAGGATCAGGAACATCGTTCATTATAAACGCGAGGTGGTTCTAGCGTACAAAGTGATGCAAGTTGCACTGGCACTGCAGATGCTCAAATATCATGGAGATTTGGCCTGCGTGAACGGCTAGCTAGGAAACTTGAGCAAGGGGCGGTCGAATTGTCTGCGAAATATGGTTTTGGATAAAGCAGTTCATTATTTGAAACACGCAAGTGTACAGATAGCATGTGAGGTTAAACATAAGCATTTAAAGTCATTAATCAGCATAAACAAGTTAAATACATGTCGCTTCTCTGAACTTAAACAGCAGTAATTTAAATGGTCGCATTCATAAATGCCAGTGGACAATTTTAGCTAATAAATAATTTATTCATTAAAGTTGAAATGTCTGAGCGGGCTTCAAATATGGATGGGTTAATGGAATAGCATAACCAGTTACCATCGCTTGGCAACTCGCGTTATGACAACGTCATCATCTTCAAAGCATATGACAAATTAACCAAAATGATTCAGTTACTCACGCACACCCTATCGGTACCCACGAAACCGCTGCACGAGCCAGTTTCGTATTTCAGCCCAAAACGCTTCCTCATTCTTTTGAAACTTCTGCTGGCCTGTACATCGAACTTGTGCTTATTAGCTAAACATAAGTTGAAGTAGAAGCTTTCATTTCGCGACGACTATAGCTCACCGCACGGATTATCCTCGTTCTTGCCTTCGCAACAGGATTTGTCGCAGAACCACCGACACAGGAATGGTATCTTACAGTACACGTGACTACAGTCTGCATTGTTGCACTTTGTTCCTGTCACCCACAGATCTGAACTTCCGGTGTCCATGAGTACCGTGAGATTTTGACTCGGAGTACCTATTTGAATTTCGGCCACGTATATTAACTACAATTAGCCTGTTTAAGTC